TGCCCTTTAGCACGCGATTCTTCGAGTGCAGCACAAACTACGGGAGCGCCCGATGAGCTTCAGAGGATGAGCTGCATTTTTTTGCCCCCTCTCAGTGAGGATGCAGTGTGTGCACCTCCTGTTGTGGGCGACAGTTTCTACGTTGGGGAGGAGCGGGGACCAGCCCTTTCTTCAAATGGGTCAAGTGTCCTGGAGCATCGGAAAACAAAGAAACGCTAGTCTTCGGCGCAAATCCCGCAGTTACTCAGCCTCTCTTACGTCGTGTCTGTTCGCTCCCCGCGCCTCGTAGCAGTGTTGTTGCAGTGGAGACGGGAGGGGGGGGGGGGGGGGGGGGGGGTCGTTAAACTTTTGACGGTTTTGGGCTCTACAAACCATTTACTCTCCCCCCCCCCCCCCCGTTTTTTCTAAGCCATATGCTTCCAACTCTTCGCAAATATCAGCTGATTTTCCAACAACTTATCCCTTTTGTGGAGGAATGTTTGTTGATAAGCAAAACAACCACTGAAATTCGAAAGTAATATGCAATTTGTGCAGAAGTTACTCAGAAGAAGTAAATAAGGTAAACTACTTGTTACCGAAATAAAAATGTAATTCAAAGTTTCCAAACTACTCAGAAAAGTAGTTAAACTACAGTAACTTGAGTAGAGGAGTTGAGCTACGTACAAGTCTGCAAATACGTAACAAAAAAAAACAAAAAAGAGCGACGAGGCGCTTAAATGGGTCGAGGGGGAGACGAACTTAAATTGGCTCAGACTGTTTTTTTTTTTTTTCAATGATGTTGCTTGTTTTGTTTTATTTTTGCTTCATCAATCCCATTTTAAGCGTTCGACACGGTAAAAAAATATCGATCTTGGTGTTGTTAGTAGCCCTTTAATCATGCCCTATCATCTGCCAAAGGTCCCGAGAAATGTTGAGCCACCGCACTAATGGGGCTTTACATAATAGGGAGCCGGTCGCTCTATAGCCCGAACGTCACCGGAAACCGGCCAGGTAAGATGATACCATGATACCCCCCCCCCCCCCCCCCCCGGCAATAGAATCGGCGAAGTAATTTCACGCGAACTTTACGAAATTTGGTTTAAAAAAAATATTCAATTTTAGACGGCATGCACATCATTAAACTCTAAACCACCGGGAGATATAATTGATACTGAGATCGTTAAGCCCCAGCGGATATTTGACTGCCGCTGGTGTGCATAAAAATTTGTTCGACATATCATTTTCACCTCCTAACTAGTAACCCAAACTAAAAGTCAGGGTAATTATTTTGGCGAGATTGTTGAATTAAAAAAAAATTATATATCCTGATATTTTTTTCTCAAATAAGAGGCATTATACACCATTCCATAAGAGCGTATGAGGGCACGTTCATTGCTGTGTGTGTTTTATGCACGCGCACTTTCTGGCTGTCCGCTAGCGAACGAGCGCTGGCTGGACTGATTTAGCATGTTTGGACTATGGTTTTTGTTAACTGTGAAAACTTGTGTACTGCAGACTCTGAAACCGTCAAACAAATTAAATTTGAGTAGTACAAATTGTGGCAAACGGCTCGTAAGATTTCGTACTCGTTAGGTATAGGCCAAATAAAAGGCGTTGCCGCCAGTACACCTAATACATAAAAAAAACAAAAAACATAACGGACCTACACGTATACTGATTTTTGTTTAACTGCCTGATCGATCTGCAAGTTTTAGAACGCGTGATGACACCCGATTAGAAAGCGTAGCAACTTTAGAATGTTGGTTCGTACATAAGGGGGGCTTGTCGCTTCTATATGGCTATTTTGAATTCAGAAATAATAAATATCATGCTGGGAAAAGCAAAGCCTGGGTATTCCGAAAACGTGTTTGATTCAAGCTGCTCAAAAACTACCGCAAAACCACTCCAAGAAAACTAACGTACATAAATGAAACAAAAACTTAGTTACGATTTTTTTTTTCGTCCCCTGATTTTAAATTGTTCACAGAAGCGCGCATAAATTATTGCAGATAAATTGTCGCACGTCGCACATCGAACATATATCATCGCACGTGAAATTCCCAGCACTGGGTCGTCCACATATCTCGAGAGGCTAACAGATAGGCTCGAGTGCAAAAATACAACAAGCATGTGTCAAGACAAACTTGACGAACGTTTCGGGCTTGATCTGACGCTTTGAAGTTTGGCCTTTTAGGTTTGTTTAGAGACCAAAAATGGTGCGCTCGGCAAGAGGAAGGATAATATAAGGGATGTTCATTTTCACCACTCTGTATAAGATCCCTAGTCGAAGGGTTGTTCGAAAATGAAATCATGCTACTCCCTCCCTGGCCAACTTGTTCCCAGAATGCAACTCGCGTAGTGTTGGACGCAGGGATTTATGGAAGTATATGTTGTGGTGGTTTCCTCCCTTACACTCGCCTCCCTGCCAGCGCTAGCGACGCTAGAGAGAAAGACTCCAGGCGTTTTCATTCTTGCCAGAAACCATTCATCTCACCACATGTTTTTAATGTTATAACTTTAAGGAAATAATGTGGCGGAAAAGTCGGCGTCGGCATTGTGACGGAAAGATTCTGATTGGTTCATAGGGTAATGACGTCGCAGAGAAATGACCTCGCGCGGGAATATCAATCAACCCACATTGCCCACGCAAAACGTGACGTCAAGCGCGGATTGAAAGTCATTAAAAGGCGATATGTAATGCGACTTAAAGGTCGACGGTTGTCTAGAGTGATTTCACTTTATAAAGTTATTCGATTGCCTTAAAGAAAAATATTGGAAGAATTTGAGGCGGAGGCGGGATTCGAGCCCACGACCCTTGGGTTGCGAGCTAGAGGCGCTGTCAACTATAAACCACGCACACACTTTTTTCGTTTTTTCCATGTTACGCAGACACGTTTGCGCAGCTTGGGAACGAGCGGGGGTTTATACCCGTTTAGCTATCGCCTTCCACTCTTAAAGGTGAAGCTTAATAGTCCTCCCGTATTTTACTTTTTTATATACTTTTGGTTTTCCATGGGGTCTTTGGCGGTCTACATCAGGGTGGGTTTGAATTTATCGTAAAATCCGGGAAATTAATTTTTGCTACGCAAGTGACGTTATACAAGGCATTGTAGAGTATCGCAATGCAATCGACGCATGGCAAAAGTATTTCACAAGTGAGATATAAATACATATATCAAATGTATTTCCATACAATGCTACAAATACCGTAAAGTATCTCTAAGATACTAAGGCGATATATTTGTATCGCAATTGTACTGAGCTTTGCATAAAACAAAAAAAAAAAAAAAAAAGAAGTAGGTGAAGGCACAGACGCGTGGTGCACTTTAAAAGTCCCTGGTGGTTGTACTGCACGGGCTAAATTGGTCATCTACAGGGAGTAATTTGAACTCGTCGCAACTTTGAGAATGGCTGACCAACTACACACAGTAGAAGTATCCGCACAACCCCAATTATTATTATTCGGACATTATATCTAGAAAGCCCTAGCAGAAAAAAAATGCATGTGTGTGTGTATGTTTATACAGCCTGAACTTAGTCTGCCTCAACGGGCTACTTGTCTCTCAACTGTAGATGAACGATATAACCAGGGTAGTACAACCGCTAGCCTGAGGTGTGTAACGTGCACCACGCATTAGTGACACCCGATCGCACGCTGGCACGATGCTCACCAGATCAAAACGGGCAGGGCTGGGGCCAGCCCTAGTAGAACGTCTATGCGTACAGCGGATCAGAACCTACTTGTTTCCTGTGCTCAGCATACGGGAAACAAGTTGTCGAGCAAAGGCGTGAAGAACAGGCCAGTTTTCTGCCGGAAGAAACAAAGGATTTTAAAACCGTTTTTGTTAAATGCTCGCCAATCTTTCAACGAGGAGGTGGTTTATTTATGCGTTTGTCACTTCTGAACTCTCACCGAGAAAGAAAAGGAATGGTGCCACTTCTTTATCCCTTTGATGCCCACAGTAGCTCATGAGCAACACTCCAAAGAATATTTATTTTTTCTACATACCAAAGACGCCAGGAACCGCGAATGCCCATTGTAGCTCTCATGCAACATCTTGTGTTTCGTCACCTACAACATAGATGGCAGCACGCGCCTTGATTTTGTTCTATACCCCAACTTGCTTGCGTCGGCAGCCACGTTTTTTTGAGTGCTCCTCCAATGTAAGTACTATTCTAAATATAATATTACCCAATAGTCTTTCGAGACGAATAAGCGTCTGAATGCAATTTCAACTCATAACAAAAAACGTTCATTAACAAATATATTAGTTTTTGTCTGGTTTGTCTAACCCTAAGCGGAACACAAACTTTTGTAGCTCTGAAGCTACATTGTGCGTTCGTGTTACTAATGGTTCAGATCTTCGTGGTTCAGTCGTACTTCGATGTATGTTGTTATATCGCCATATGCAGTATAGATATTCAGTGTAATATTTAATTACTCTAATAGTTACATTCTCATTGATAAAAATATTCGAATAAAATATATTGGTGTAATATTTTTTTACTGTCCAGATGAGTGGTACCAGAAGAAATGGACACCTTACTGAAGAAGAAATTCAAGAGCTAATATTTTTGCCTGATGGGGATATTTCTGATATGGAAATTGATAGTGATACCGATGACCCTGACTATGACCCTGCGGCTGACTTTCAGTTTATTAATCTCTGCCCTTTGGAAGTCGTGAGGGACAGTGATACCTCTGTGAACGCTCAAGAGGAAGCGTGCTTACCACACAGGCCATCAGAGACACTATCAACCAAGCCGTCAGTTCCTCCTCAAGCCCGGATGGAATCAAAAAGAAAGGATTCTAGAAAATGGTTACGAGATGACATTGTGTTCACTGATCATGAGTGGAAAGGATCATTGCCATCCCCCCCCCCCTGAAGAACTTCCCACTCCATACGTGTACTTTGCGAAGTTCTTTGATGAAATGATGTGCGAAAGACTCACATTTGAAACAAACCTCTACAGTGTGCAACAGTCTGGCAAGAGTTTGGTTGGGTGTTACTGGCGAAGAGATGAGGAAGTACTTGTCTATCCTTGTGCTCTGTGGTGTCATAAAAATGCCGCAGTTCAGAATGTTCTGGCAGGGTGGGACAAGATATGCCCCTGTTGCAGACCTGATGAGCCGGAACAGGTTTGAGGAGATACATCGCTTTTTACACATGAACAACAACATGGAGCAGAAACCAAAAGGAAGCGAGGGACATGACAAGCTCTTCAAAGTCCGTCCCATTATAGACGCGCTCCGACAGAACCTAAGACTGGTGCCACCAGAAGAAAAACAAAGCATCGATGAGCAAATCATACCATTCAAGGGCCGCAGCCAGATGAAGCAGTACATCAAAGCGAAGCCACACAAATGGGGCTTCAAGGTGTTCACGAGGGCCAGCTCGTCGGGCATAATGCACGATTTTGTCATATATGAAGGTAAAGGCACTGCAACGGACCATAGATTAGGGATATCTGGAGATGTCATTCTTGATCTTGTCAAGGACCTGCCACAAGGGATAAACCACAAAGTCTTCTTCGACAACTGGTTTTCCAGTTTGCGTCTGTTTGAACATCTTAAAAAAGAGGGCTACCTGTCAGTGGGAACTGTCAGGTCAGACCGAACTGAAAAATGCCCCTTGGCTCTAGACTCCGAGCTAAAAAGTCAAGGTAGGGGTGCCGTAGGCTACAAACTAGATGCTGAAAGTGGGGTTCAAGTCATCAAGTGGCTCGACAATGCAACTGTACAGTTGGTGTCAAGTTACGCTGGCGTTCAGCCTACTGACACGTGCACCCGCTGGAGCAACAAAGAAAAAAAACAGATAGAAGTGACTCGACCAATTGCAGTAAAAGAGTACAATGACTCAATGGGAGGTGTCGACCTCGCAGATATGCTCATCGAGTTATACCGTACCGACCACAAGTCACGAAAGTGGTACGTGAGGATCTTCTACTGCACCATTGATGTGTCCATCGTGAATGCCTGGTTGCCCTACAAGCGTCATTGCAAGGCGACAGACACCCGAAAGCCACTTTCGCTGCTAAGTTTCAGGATGCATGTGGCTGAGGCGCTTGGCTTGAGAAATGCCAATAAACAAAAACGGCAGTCTCGTTCAGAGGACGAAGCGTCGCCAAATCAAAGCGCTAAGGATCCAAGAATACAGAAGCCGGTGGACGATGTTCGGCACGACGGTGTTCAGCACTGGCCAGTCATTGGGAAAAAAAGGCAACGCTGCAGGTCCTGCTCAAAAGGATTCAGTTTCCTCTACTGCAGCAAGTGCAACGTGCATCTCTTCCTGGTTCCCAGCAGAAACTGCTTCATGGCATTTCACACTAAGTAGTGGTCCCGAATGCCCAATGTAGCTCAGAAGCAACGTTCCGCAAAAGCATAACCATTAAAGTCAATTTTTTTTATTTTTGTTGCAAATCGTTTTTTTACTTGTTTTGATATAACCCTGAAAGTTTCATCTCATTCTTTCATCGGGAAAGTAGTTTGGGCATCACAGGGATATTATACAAACTATCTACATCCATTCGATGGCGAAACGCATTACCGCGCTACCTTGCGGCGCGACGCCTGTGGCCGAGACGCGCAGTGCCCACATGTGCTTCTTCTGGCATACTCGCAGGCGTGTCAACTGTCCCGCTTCTGACCGACGCCTTCTTGTTCTCAGGAATACGGCGCCAGGCGCCGCTTCAATAGCCGCCGTTGACCGCCGTGCCGCAGCTGTATCTCGCTGGCGCAATGACTGGCAGAAGCCGGGATATCAACTCTATCTCCCGGCGCCCGGCAGGGTATCGCTTTCACAGCTCAGCAGCCAGAAAAACAGCCATTCTGCTTCTTTTTTTTTTTTTTTAAGAACCTATTAATTTTGTTTACATGTGCTGCCCTGGCAATCAGTGAATCACAGTTGATTCAGAAAGCGAAATTTGTTATACATTGCACACGTTATTAAATCAAATACTAAAATATCTTAAAGTGCATTAACACAAAACGAAAAAAAAAAGAAAGACATTTACAATCCCCTGTAACGCTGAATTTGAGCACAGTTCTTGAGGAGGAGGAGGAGAAGGTACAGAGAGGAGGGTATGCCCCTCCTTCTCATCCGTGCTTTCCCCTTTCGCTAAATTTCCCGCTAAATTTAGATGAAAAATTCCCCGCTAAACTCAGCTGGCTGGAAATGTGTTCCGCTAAATTCAGGGGGAAATTTATTCCGCTGAATTTAGTGGCAAACATTTTCCGCAGAATTAAGCGAGGAATTTTTTCCGCTAAATTTAGCGGCGAAATGTTCTTGCTACATTTAGCGACGAAATTTTCCCGCTACATTTAGCGGGGAAAATTTTCAGCTATATTTAGCAGACAAACGAGTTGTTTTCCAACGTCAATCCGGTTACACACAGCCCTAAATATGCTCGAATATTTTATGCGACGAATAAAATAACGCTTTTTTTGGACGCCATTCTTGTTTCTATTGGATGGTTTTCAAACGCAAAAAAATGGCATAATCCGCCATCTCTAATGCCGCCATTAAATTGCAAACGCTCTCCATGGTTTTAGTTAAACACACTCTTATATGAGGCTCCCTACAGCCCCTCTACAAAGATTTCCAAATATTGAACCGGAGCAGGAGGCATGGCTGGAGGAGATTCCTGCAGCACTGCTCGGTGCTGGCAACGCTATCTTACAAGTTTGTGTTGTCGATGCGCCACAAATACGAAGCAGGCGAATGTACCGTAGACTCGGCGACGTCCTCATCGGGATTTTCCTGCTCGTCTCGTACTCTACAAGACCCAACCGCGCTAACATTCAACTAATTCTCTCTCCATGGTCGTAAGATCGTCTGGTGCTGAAAATGACACCTGGGCGTTTTCAGACAGGATCGAACAACCATGTCCAGTGACAATTTTTAAATTTGATAAAAAAAATATATTTTGCTAATAAAAGCCCGAAAGAATAAAACCAGTCCTTGTGTTAAAAAAAAAAAGTGTTTGCGAATAAAATTTGCAAGCACTCTGTTGGTGACCTGCGTGTTTTGCCTATCACGTGATGATGGCGTTTTGGACAACTCCTCCCCCCCTCCCCTAAATAAAAAGAAAAAAAAAAAGAAGACAAAATTTGTTTTTGCTATACGTCTAGAAATTTTTACTAACAAATTAGCCATACGAATTCTGGACAAAAAGTATTAATCACCGACTATGAGGGTCGTTATCTTGAGAAACAAAATCACAAAGACGCCACGTTGTGCAATAATGCTCTAGATTAAAGATTTGTTTTTTATCCGTACTTGTGAAAGCTAAGGTCTTCAAACTTTTCCAGTGTGTTGGTCTGTATATAGTTCATCTCTGCATAAAATATTGTTGTCCTCGTTAGCGGTAGAAATGTACAAGACTCGCTCAAACAGGGGAAATTAAATAAATAAGCATTTTTGACAAGCATCTAAATAAAAAAGGCAACCTTTAGTATTTTCTTAAACTCTCCGAAATTAACGTTTATAACATGTGCTGACAGACTCTACAAAAGCACAATGCAATATTTGCGTGGAATTGAAGTTATCAAGCGAGAAATCTAGCCAAATTGACGCTCATGGGGTTGCCATAAATGGGGCGTGCACATACCAATTCTTCACAATTTAATTATTATCATAAAGCCTAAACATGCAACGGGGTGGTCAGGAAAATACAAACTGACAGCACAGAGGTGGACGGTAGTTTTTAAGGGAATATTCCTAATACATTTTTGTGCAACCGACCCACAAATGCTCATTGGCAGGAGTGACCGAGATGCGCTACCCTGCAACATGCTTCGCGGTGCCTGTTTCAACAGCCGGCGTATAGCGTCTCCGTCTACGCGACGTAAATGAAGCAACCGGAGCGACTTCGAAAACAGATCAGCCAACAACCTTGGCGGTAACATGATATAGGAGGTAGGGCGCAGAGATCCTGAACCTCCGCAACCTGTGAGCGCCAATGGGCACGCCGCCGTGAAAAGCCGCAGAACTCAAAAACAACAACAACAAAGATCCTGAAAAAAAAGCATTGTGATTCAATGAGATTGTTTGTAACTTAATTTATATGACAACAGTTTTTAGAATCGTGAAATGCAATTTGGGTATGCTCAGTTGTCCTACGTCAGTAAATGTGCAGCAAGCCACTTTAAGAACAAATACCAACTACACGAGGTGCAGAGCCACAAGCAGACATCAGCGAAGTTGATTTTTTTTGCAACTTAACATAGATAGAATCGATAGAATCGGGGTTCGTGTCAAGCAACAAGGCAACGTTGCACAACCTCCGACGGCCCACCACGTCGGTGATGAATTTGGCGCTAAAGATGGTTGCCCAATGAACTCTAAACTGTTGAACGTGAAACTACTCCACCTCCCGAAAGCTGACGTCAAAGCGACCAGGGATATGAAAGCAAAGGAGTTGGACTCTCTTTCTGTTGTGCGTAGAATTCAGTCCTGGCACTTGTGTCAGTGCACGCAGTCCGACACTTCGCAACCGCAGCTGTTCTGGCACGAACAACAGACGCAAAAAATATATATTTTTAAAAGTAAAGTCTCCTATGGCTGCGTAAAGAAGATTGAGGTCGCGCGATTGCGTTGCCACTGAGAAGAAACGAACAGTAATCGCTTCAGGCAAAGCGAGACAAAAAAGTTTCTCCTTGGAGTGCCAGGAGTGCGCCGTGACCGACTCAGGTCACCGACCGGCAGAAAGAATGCACGTGAGAAGCGCCGAATGTGCGCACACTGCAGAATCTTGAATCATTAAACTTGATTTTAATTGTACCACTTCAAACACGTGTTATTCCTTACCACTATTTAAACCTGGTCGTCAGTCGCCCAGTTTCCCAACAAAGGGTAGGCTCCGAAGTTGACTGATCCGTGAGATATCCATTTAAATTGTTGGCTAGTGCTTCAAACTCACCTGTAATTTTTTGCATGAATTCTTATTTCTCACAAACTCCTGACACCGCAGGAAACGACGGTGAAAATAGTCTGGGTGCGGAGGAAGTAAGCGTATCAATGACGAAAGGAACTCTATCTCGAGATGTTTTTTTTTGTCTTTCATGGGGATGATTGCCTCAAGTTGATCGCGCTCGAATTGTGTAAGATCAGGAAAGATTTTATTTCTCTCTTCTTTTTTTGGAGAGCTTTGACGTTACCTTTGTTATGACTAATGATTATTTTAACTAATTTTAAGGATGCGGAGTTTAGAGTTACCTCTCATGATCGTTCTTCCATTTCGTTAAGATTAGTGGCCAGATTGGGCGATAGCTTAAGACCCTTCGGTGCTGTCTTGGTTTTGAGGTAATGGGTTAGGGTACGGACATGCAGCTCGTGACGAACGCGTTTTTCTACTAATTTTCTAAATTACAGAAAATGTTATAGAGGCAGGCAGCGATACCGAGTTCTTATCTGATTGGCGGGGTGATAGTAAGCTGTGCTGTACAGCACGAGCCACAGTGGCGAATGTCCGTCGCATTTTGGACCTGTGGGTTGGCGCTCCGGGCGGTACTCTTCGATGCTGAGGGGCAGAAGCGTGGGTTAAAGCTTTAAAGGAGCCCTGCAAAGACTTTTTCACTGATTTTAACCGTCGCGTGTTGGTTGGCCTTGATATTAGGTACAGCCGGAACGGCCTCTCGCTGGTCACGATTCGGGACACCGTGTACCACTCTCCGGGAAGCGTTCGAAGCTTTTTGACGCGCTAATTTGGAAGGAGAGGAACCCGGCCGGTTCTGGCCAGTAGTGGCCTGCGCCGGGAGCGGCGGGAACGCCGCCTCGCCGAGCTGTTCGAAGTGGGATCTCCAAGCTTTGAACTGGAGCTCACGGATGTTACGAATGACGTTTTGCAAGTGCCCCGTCAGGAGTGCCACATTGTCTACAACATGAACGGTACCTTCAATTGTGACTCACGGAATATAGCATACGTATACTGCATGGCCCACTCTGTAGCCTGCAAGAT